AAATATCTAACATGCCACTTGAACATCTTAAAAGTATAAAATTTTTTTGCCTCATGCCATGGTTTTATAAATTTTTTCTCAGAGGAGTAAAGGCACAATACTCATGAAAGGAGAATATTTCTATGTACTCTTAAACTAAACTGTGCTAAGGAATACAAATAAAATGCAAGTTTAAAAATCTAAGTAGAGCCTGGCCAGTGTTGCTCAGTGGTTGAGCGTCAACCCATGAACCCGGAGGTCACAGTTTGATTCCCGGTCAAGCCATAATGCCCGGGTTGTGTGCTTGATTCCTAGTAAGCAGTGTGCAGGAGGCTGCGGATCAATGATTCTCTCTCATCACTGATGTTTCTACTGGTATTTCTCTCTCTTGTTCTCTTCATCTCTGAAAGCAATAAAAACTTATTTTTTAAAAGAATATTGACTTGTTTAAAAAAAAATCTAAATATTGTACTTTATAATGCCTCAGAAATTAGACCATGCCATCAACTTGAGATGTGGATGCCTGCATTATAAAGCTGAATTCAGATCATACTACTTGGCCAAAGGATTTGCTTTAGATATCCATTATACTGTGACTTAACTGCGTTAAAAGAAAACATCTTTTCTTTTAGTTATACTTTTCCACCAACATCTGATCATGCAAAAGCCTTGGTTCACTTTTCTGCTCCTCAAATACTTTGGTTTAGTGCACAGAAAGGTTTCTTCTTAACTATTACACAGTTAAGTATGTCCATATAGAATGATCAGAAGCATCTGGAAAGGTGGAAGTGAAAAAATCCTCACTGGGAAAGTTAGCTTACTGCTTGCCCTTCAGAGTGGCCCATTATCAACATTTCATAGTGGGTTTCTTTATTTTCAGGTCCCTGAGGTATATGCAATAAATTATGACAAACTAAACAAGTCACACTTGGCTCCAAAATGAAATTTTCCTACCACTACTTTCTAGTCCCCAAGGTGGGAAAAGGAAATCCTGGTCACAGCCAAAGAAGTCATATTTTTGGCTCTAACATACATTTTCCTGCTTCTCTAAAAGCCAAACTCTACAATTGAGACTACAAAAGTCTTAAGTTAGTATTTTAAACTGCATTTTAATTTTTACTTCCATAATCTGTGCCTCAATTTAAGGAAAAAATTTAGTATCATAAAATTAATGTCACTGCCCTTTTTTTCCCCCACTCAAATGACTTTTCTAACTCAGACACTGATCCGAACTTTTTAAAATAACAATTCAGCGCTCGCTTCAGCAGCACATACACTAAAATTAGAACAATACAGAGAAGATTAGTATGGCTCCTGCCCAAGGATAACATGTAAAATAAAAATTCAAATCAAACAATATAGAAAATAATGCAAAAATAGATTTTTTCGTTTCCATAGATAGAATATTTAAGGTTTGCATTTATAAGTAACTTTTACTTATTCTTGCATGATAGACTGAGTATTAATGCAAAAGAAAATAATAAAGTCCTAATTTGTGGTCCAGTAATTTGAAGCACAGTGTTAGTTTTAGAAAAGCCATTTCAGGAAATCATTTGCCCTGGTCAGTTTGGCTCAGTTGGTTGGGCACTGTACCATGTACTGAAAGGTTGCCAGTTCAATTCCTGGTTACAGCACATGCCCAGGTTGTGGGCTCGACACCCAGTAGGGTGGTACTAAGCATGCAGGAGGCAGCCAATCAATGTTTCTCTCTCTCCCTCCCTCTCCCTCCCTTTTTCTCTAAAAACCAATAAAACCTTTAGGAATAAATAAATAAATTTAAGAGCTAAGCCTATATGAAACTCTTTGAAGAAAACATTAGGGGCATGGCCTTGTATTTGGCAATGGTTTTCTAAGTATGTCACCAAAAGCACAAACAACAACAAAAATAAAATGAATTCATTAAAACTGCCACGATATTTTGAATTTAATTAAAAAAGGTCCACTGCCTGCGTCTATAAATACTTATGGCAGTTAACTGGTTAAAATTTCAGATATCTTTTATATCCATAGCAGTACAAATAAATATTTTTAACTTGTTTGGTCATTTATGAATTTTAAGAAACCATTTATAATGATGCTCTGATTTATTTCAGATATATTTCAGATATTCAGATATTTCAGGTATTGACTGCTATATTCTGGTATTTCCAAATGATAATAGACCTTCTTAATTAGAAAACTTGCATACCTACACTGTTACAGTTTATAAACATCCGTCTTTTGGATGGATGCCTTATAAATATCCTTTAATTGTAAAAAAAAAAAAAAAGCCAGGATTCCTTTTTGAAGTCTTAATTCTAAATCTTTTACCCCCCATGCTGCTGACTTTGGGCTTGGGCATATGACATGCTATGGGCAAAAGGTTAGAAAATGTGGAAGTACTTATACAGTCAAGCCTGCCCTCTTGTACCCCTGTCATTGCAATGATAGCATGTTTTGGCTAGTCGGTCAGTCCATGAAAAATGAGATACATATGTAAAACAGTCCTTACTCAGTTGAGCCCAACCTACATTGGTCAAACCACAGCAGGGTGACTGAGCCCAAGTGAAATTGCCCAACATGCCCAGCCTAGATCATCTACTGCCCAGCCACCCCACCATACATGTGTGTATCATAATAAATGATTGTAGGTCAACTTCTTTAGAACAAACCTCCTCCTCCCTACCCAGACCTCATTGTCTTCTGTTATTCTGCTATTTTGTACAACTAGAGCCACTAGGATTCAGTTAAGTAGAACTACAAGGAGGATATTACTGAGGAATGTCAGAGCAGACTACAGGGTGTCTATCTCTTTTTTTTCTTTGTATGACAGACTGAGATGCTGCCTGGGAAGAACTTATTGTAAGAAAAATAAAGCATTAAAAACCCAAATTGGCATAAAACAATGCCCAGAATCATAGTTGTTAGAAGTGAGGGTAGAGAAAATAGAAGTTAATATAATTTTTTTCTTCACAAGTAACATTTTATTTAATTTTAAGAATGTTGAAAGAATAACATATAAACACCTGTATTCTCACTATATTTTCTTGAAGCTTGCTTTTTACTAAAACAAACAAGTATTACAGAAAATGCTGAAGTCCTTTTGATCACTACCCTCTATACCATTTATTTCTCTTCTCAGACATACATTGAGTTGGATGTGAATCCTTTTGTATCTGTTACTTGGTATTTAGTACAAACTATTATTAGCCATAAAGGTGTTTTTTCCCCAGCTCTGAAAAACTCATATATAAGTCCAAAAAAAGAGAAAAGATTTCAAGCAACAATTTAAAAAGCTAGTTGTTTTTTTTGGGGGGGGGGGACTTATTTAAGACAATGGAAGAACATGTGGTTCAGAAAGAAGGGGAAAAACACTCTTTCCACTTTAACAAAGCAGCATTAGTGCAATAATATAGGTAAAATGATAAGACATAAAAAAGAGACAATACCACTGCCAACAGCAGTGCCATCAGTAGCAACTCAGCTTCAGCACTAATGCTGTTGATGGTGAACACAACAATTTTCCCGAGTGGATGGCAACTGTTTCATCAGTAGCAATAGCCAGAGGCATCATTGGCCATTTTAGAACAGGAACCCTAGGCATGGTCATCAGCATTCTCAATGGTAGCACTGGTAGCTGGAGAAAGGTACTGGAAGGCACCAGTTACTGTAGGCGGGAAGGATCAGATATCCCTTATGGACTTTCAGAAATTTTGAGGAGCTCCAGAGGTTAGGGAAGAGTAGAAACTAACCAGAGAAATACCGTTTATTACTGTTAATATTATATAATTCACAGTGTCTAGTAAAATATTAACAGTAAAGAAGATAACTGCCTGGAGAAAGAATTTCTGCTTTGATATGAGACCCTAACCAGTTGTGCTCCGGGAGGAAAGATATGAATTATACTCAATGCAATCAGCTCAGTGGTCAGAAAACCTCAATTCTTGGTCTCAGATTGCTAGCATCTTCAAATGCCTGTAGAAAATAAATAAAAATTCTTCTCGATGGAAGATATCATCATCTTTGGCTTCAAATTATTGCTACAAGTAATTTTTCAAATATAATGTTTAGCAAACAATCAGTGATAATGAAGCAAAACTCCTGTTTTTGGCCAAGACCAGAATAACTGGTTTGGGAATATCCCTCCCACTGTAAGTGAATGTAAAACTGGACGCAACAGATAAAGCAACTGCTTTCAAGGAGTAGACACCAGGCAACACATGACTAATCTCAGAGATAAGGGAAATCCATTAGGTGAACTCCATGATTCTCAGCTCCCTTCCTGAGTAAAACTTCCTGACAGCAGCACAGAGCACTGAACAGGCAGAATACAGGGTCCTGCTGAGCTGAGCTGGAAGAGAGAAGAATTTGGGCAGCTAAAATCACTGCAATCTGCAGGGCAGGGCATGGCATTGGAAAGAAAGGAGCCAGGTAGAAAAAGGGCCCCACAACTACGGGGGACCCCTGTTAGTCTGTGGCTAACAGCTTCACAGAATGCAAACTGCTGGACTCTACTTCCATAGGTTTGGATGGAGTCTGAGAATATGTATTTCTATCAAGTTCCTAGGTGATACTGATGTTCCTGACCTGGAACCACACTTGGAAAATCACTCTGTTAAACAATAAATAGTATAAGTTAAAAATATAATAAGCGCAGTCTCCCTCTCAAGAACACGCCCATGCCTTTCCATTCCCCTTCTTCTTACCGCCACCCCACCCCACTCCCCCCCACCCCATCACCACCACCAGTTACTTCTCTCTCCTAAGCTCCAAGGGTCCTTCTTTTGCTTCTGTAACTTGGTTCCTGAGCCTACACAGCCCAGCTGGCTCATTTCTACTACCTCGCTAACTTCCTAAATAAACTTTCTCTTATAATTTGAAAAGACAAATAAAATAAACCGGTATCTACTAAACCTTTCTCACTCATTGAGTCACTATAAAATTAAAATAAAATACCTGAAGATACAAGAAAAATGTATAGTTAACTTAACACAAAATCAACAACTTCTATGATAAAATTTCTTAAGACTTTGAAGGCCTACCTGAAGATCTTTCACATTTGGAAAAGGAATTCCGATTGTTATGACAGCACGGGCATTGTCATCTGAGAAATCCAGACCCTCACTCACTTTACCACGACAAACTGCTACCAGGAGGGCTCCATCTTAAGCAACAGAAAATAAACATTTTCAAAAGCACACTCAACATTCCCAGAAATTGCCTTTTCTTGTCATTTTGAAAAGCTCCGATTAAGTCATCATAGTAACAAACTTAAAAAAATCAAAATTAAAATCTCTTATGAGATAAAGTTTTAAAAGTTCAATGTCTTTAAATAAATGAGGAAAATAAAATTACATTTAGGTACAATGTGGTAGCAAACCAATTTACAAACTATGTGTCTCAGAGAAACACACAGTAAAACCACATCAGAGGAGTAATTTGCACATGAACTGAGCAATTGTGAACCAATAGTTTTATCTTTAGAAATTGAAATGGCAACCCTTACCATTACCATAAGCATATAAAGTTCTCAGAACTATTTAAATAATTCTCAATTTGTATATCATATTGAATCAATGTAATATTAAAAAGTATGTACAACACGCACAGAATACTCATCATACAAGGATAATGACAAGTATGTTATAGTATCTTTATGATCTTGCATTGTCCATAAATTATGGGCATTCTCTAACTTTCATATTCAGTCTTCGCTTATGTTTTGAAAACTCAAGTTTACCTTATGTAATAGAATATAAACACAAAGTATATTATTTGCATCAAAATGTGGGGCTCATTTGGCTAGTAAGGAAGATCTGTAGGCCTGCTCTACCTGCCTTTTTCCACAACACATTGTGGGTAGTGTAGGGATGACTATGGAATAATAACTGAATGTTTCCCCAATTGAAAACATTCACAGAATAACTCCAAATAAAGAATTTCTTTCACTTATTTTCTTTTCACTCAGGAGTATAACATATAATTCTTCCTTTAAATGCATTTAAAAAAGATAACACAAATAATGTTCTAACAGCGCCAACTTCTTACTTTACAGTAAAAAATATTTTTTCATTGGTCACCCAATTATTTCCAATTACCTTTCTCTCCTTTGCACTTGATCGCATCATAGTACACCTGTAGTAACTCATCAAAATCAGTTTTTTCTCCTCCCTGTGGTTCTACAATGACGGTCTTCACCAACTCCAGATTATGCCATAAACCAGTAGAGAGCCAACGTTCTTTTAACTTTTCTAATAACTAAAAAGGAGGGGGAAAGTGAATTTTGTGTGTGTCAAACTTACCTTGATTTGTTTAAAGCCAATGTGGCTACAACATGACTATGGCAAGCATATTAACGTTTTTGTGTACGGGTGTGTACGGAGGCAACCGATCAATGTTTCTCTCTCATATCGATGTCTCTGTCTCTCTGTCTCTCTTCCACTCTCAAAACATATCCTTGGGTGAGGATTAAAAAAATAAAAATTAGTAACACGTGTACCAACAAGGATGAACACAAATCTATATGTATTGAGTTTAAAAAGTGAATTACAGATAGATAACATATAAATGATTTTATTCTTTTTTTAAAATTTATCTTTACTGGTATTGTTGAAAGTATTACAGATGTCCCTTCCCCCCCTGCCATGGACCCCCCCCACCCTGCTCCCAACCTACTCAGGGCTTCACGCACTATTGTCTGTTGTCCATGAGTTATACATATATGCATGTAAGTTCTTAAGTTCAAAAACAATATATTATCTAAGCATATATACCTATATATAAACTACTTTTTTAAAATAAGCAACATTAATGTCTCTAAAGATGAGAGGATATGATTATGAAGGGGTACATGGACTTTTCTAATGTAGGAATAATGTTCTATTTTTTGTTGAATGGTGGATACTTAGAAGTCCATTCTATTATTATTGAATTGTGCATATTAAGTTTATACATTACATACATTATATTTCACAATTAAAAAACAAAGACTAAAATCAATACTACTCTGATATTAATGAAGAGTTAGGGGGGTTAGAATGGGTACATTTAAATTACTAATACAGCAATCCAGAGATGGGTGTGGCTTGGATTAGAAAGTATTAAAAAAAATTTACAGAAACTTGAGAGGAAGGGAAAGAAGTATAGCACAACCTTTCAATTTCATATGGAGGCAAAAGTCCATCCAAGGATTATATAGGGAAATGGACTTTACTGAACTCACTGTTTACTGTTAAGATATAGATTTAGTGAAATTATTTGAACTTATATTTTTTATCCAGTGGAAATGCAAATAATTTCTGTCCAGGAGAAAAGATAACCCCAAAGGTTACAGATTATTAGCCTGCAGTACATTAACCAGTTTTGTATTCAGGTCAGCAATCTTATATTCTATTCCTTTATAAGTATATAGCTCCTGTAAATGCTATATGAATCAGCCTTAACATCATATTCATTCTCTTATTAGTCAATAAGTTGAATAAACTCTGACAGGTGTTCAGTTTATATTGACATGTGAGTCATGATTTTATCTTTTTGAAAATTATATTGTAGAGAAAGTGAGATTATAAAATATTTAAAATTAAAATGATCATATCCCCAGGTTATCTGATTAGTCCAAATATAGATTGTGGTACCATTCACTCATAAAGGCAACACTGGAAAACAACCAAGATTGGGAGGAAAATTTAGAAATTTTTTGCCTTTGAGATACTCAGATTGATATATTAATCTGTCATTGAGTAGGGTGAATATGATGTTGTGATTGATAATAATATATATTTGGTCTTTATCCCTGCTCCAGGAACAGAGCTCCTAAAACCCTTGGAATTTCCTGAGCAATAAGAGCTATAGGGACATCTTTTGTTCCAGTTCCTGAAATAGCTCCATGGCCATCGGTGAAATAATCTATAATAATAAAAAGGTAATATGCTAATTAGACCAGATGTCCTTCCAGACAAAGCTGGGGCGGGAGGGAAGTCCAGGTCCTGGGTGCCTGCCGGCAGCCCGAGGGAAGCCCAGGTCCCAGGTGTCTGCCAGCTGCCGGAGGGAAGTCCAGGTTCCGGGTGCCTTCTGGCAGCCGGAGCAAAGCCTGAGTTCTGGGTGCCTGCTGGTGGCTGAAGGGAAGCCAGGGTCCTGGGTGCCAGAGGGAATCTGGTGCCGGCAGCCGGGGGAAGGAAGACCTACTCTTGCATGAATTTCATACATTGGGCCTCTAGCCCTATCTAATAATAGACAAACATGGTAATTAACCATACCTCCACTACGCTTCCCATTGGCTAATCAGCAGGATATGCAAATTAACTGCCAAGCAAGATGGCAGCCGGCAGCCACGCAGCTGAAGCGAACATGAGGCTTGCTTGCTCCAGTGACGGAGGAAGCCAACATTCCCCGCCTGCCTCGCTCTGCTCTAAGCTACACTTTAAGCAACAAAGTTGCAATTATAGAAGCTAAACAAGCTCCAGATACCTGCTTTCAGCCAGCTTCGGCCTCAGAGCTTAGAGCAGCAGTGATGGCAACAATGTTTCAATTATAGAAGCTAAACAAACCCAGATACCTGCTTTCAGCCAGCCGGGCCTCAGAGCTGGAGCCGGCTCTCAGCTCCAGTGACAGCTATAGAAGGTAAATAAATCCCAGAATAAAAAAAAAAAAAAAAAAGAGGCTGGGAGCTTCAGTCACTCGCCAGCCTGAAAACGGCCCTCAGCCCCTCACCCAGACTGGCCCGGCAAACCAGTGGGGACCCCCACCCTGATCCGGATCACCCTTCAGGGCAAACCAGCCGACCCCCACCCGTGCACCAGGCCTCTATCTTATATAGTAAAAGGGTAATATGCAAACCGACCCTAACAGCAGAAAGACTGGGAATGACTGGTCACTATGACACACACTGACCACCAGGGGCAGACGCTCAATGCAGGAGCTGCCCCCTGGTGGTCAATGCGCTCTCACAGGGGGGAGCTCTGCTCAGCCACAAGCCAGGCTGATGGCTGCCAGTACAGCAGTGGTGGTGGGAGCTCCTCCTGCCTTCTCAGCAGCGCTAAGGATGTCTAACGGCAGCTTAGGCCTGCTCCCCGCTGGCAAGTGGACATCCCCCGAGGGCTGCCAGGCTGCCAGAGGGATGTCTGATTGCCATCTTAGGCCCAATCCCCCGGGGAGCAGGCCTAAGCCAGCATGTGGTCATCCCCCGAGGGGTCCTAGACTGCGAGAGGGCACAGGCTGGGCTGAGGGACCCCCTACCCCGAGTGCACAAATTTTTGTGCACTGGGCCTCTAGTTTGTTTATAACAAGCCCCTTTGAACCACACCTGAGTATATGTTAATTAGACTTTTGGACAGTCCCTAAGTAACCTTAAGATGGTGGATGGTTGCCAGGGGAATCAACCATATTATTAGAGGGTTGGGACACCCCCAACCTCCAGGGAGGGAAGAAGGGCTAGAGATTAAATCAATGGCCAATGGCCAATGATTTAATCAATCAAGCCTACGTAAGGAAACCACCATTAAAATCCAAAAGCATGGAGTTAAGAGACCTTCCTCCTTATGCAGGAGGGAGTAAGCTCCAGTACTTGAGATCCTCCTAGATCTCATCCCATATACTTCTTCATTTGGCTGTTCATCTGTATCCTTTATAATATCTTTTATAATAAACTGGTGGAGGTAAGTCAATGTTTCTCTGAGTTTTGTGAACTACTCTAGCAAATTAACTGAACCTGAGAATCTTTAGCCAGTCTTGTGGGATGGAGCTCTTAACCGCTGGGATCTGATGCTATCTTTAGGTGGATAGTGTTCAAAATGAGTTAAATTGTAGCTGGAGTCGCAGAATTGGTTGATCTGTAAAAACCCACACATCTCGAGTCAGACGTGAAGTTGTGTTGTAATAGATTACTGAGAATAGAGGAGTCACACAGCAGTGAGTTTTTTCTTTAAACTGTGTTACTTAGTGAAGAAATCAGAATTGAAATATAAACTGGGAAACCAAGACAATAGATGTTCCTGAAAGAATGCACTTGGATGAGACTGACTTACAGTAGAGAACAAAAAGAAAAATGTCCACTAAGAAAACCTGACTCCCTCTTTCTATCATGATGCACATCCAATCTATCAGCAAATCCTGCCAGTGCTACTTTCAAATTTTATCTAGACTCCAAAAATACTGCTACCACAGTGGTCGAAGGCACCACCATCTCTCCCATGAGTTATTACAGTAGACTACTATATAGTCATCTTACTCTCTACAGTCCATTTTCCATGCAGTAGCTAGTATAATCCCATTAAAATTAAGTCTAGAGCCTCAAATGGATTCCTACTGCATTTAGAAAATATAGCAAAAAATACTAATTATTTTTATGAAAATGGTCCATAGCAAAATTTCAGTTTTAGATAACAAAATATTTAGGTCTACAGCTTTTCCATGATCACTCAAACTGCACATTTATATAGCTTAATTACTTCCCCCTTACCAGAGAAATCATACAAATAACTAAACACATACATAATCCAGTTGATTTTTAAATTCTCTTAAGTATCACAACTAGGTATCTAAAAGTCAAATAACTTAGAGGAAAGTACACTGACACGAAGCCATCTCTTGGTTTTAAGACTTATATATATGAAAAATGTGAGGCATCACTATTATGAAATAGTTTACTTAGCTCATAAAGAGCAAATACTATTCACACAAAGAGACTAACCCACATATAGTGACATAGGTGATTTAATCTACTAGTTGGTGTTCACATCATTTGGATTTGGTAAACACAGATACTTTTTTTGTCAGATCTCACAAATTAAAAGACACTTTGGAATGTTTGTGCCTTATCTGGTTATTGTCATTTTACTTTTTCAGACTTCTTAAAACTGGTATCTCACTGGGGAGGCAGTAAGTTAGAATGCAACCTAGTGGGGATATCCTGCATTTGCTCAATGTCTATAGCTTTTACACAGTTCCAGATGTTCAGTACATTAATAATGCACTAACTCAAAGCCTCTTTTTGAAACTTTAGAAAGTGCAAATTGCATTAAAACCTCTTTGCCCTCATTAATGGTATTGTTACAATCCTAGTCCTCTGGAAAATGTTTTTTGGCATGTGTTTAACTTTATAATATTGCCATTTACTCACTTTAATAGCCAGTACTCAAGTCTTAATGCTTTCTAATAGGCCTGCCTAAACAGACTACCATCTTTTGTAATCTTTTTCACATAATTTACTTATATGTAAAACCTGTCATATTTTTCCATATGAAGGTGATTCTTCACTATTCATTTCAATATTTAAGAAATTTTTACTAGACTTTATTCAGTTATAATGTACCTATAGATGGCACATGTTAGGAATAAAATATAGTTCCTTATAAATAATAATAAAAATTAAAAATAAACTAGTATTTTTTTATAACTTTTTAAATTACAGTAAAAATATATGCTTAATTCTTACTGTACTCAAACATCTGTATTCAAACATAAAATATGAAAAATATTAATTTCTATTGAAACAACTTCCTATATTCTAGCTTTATCGTGATATCTGATTCAGCATCTTCACCTCAAGAGGCTCAGTTATATTTCAAGATCAGTTTTCAACAAATTTGGATGCAGTCAGTAATGCACTAGGAAGAATAATATAGAGGAATATTGTCCTGAAGTGTAAGATCCATTTTAGTTCTTGGCTTAATAAAAATGAAAGGTCCTACAGTCCTCTCTCATAAGGAAAATTCCCTCACATAATTTTGTTAAAAGAATGAGGACTCTGCCCTAACCGGTTTGGTCAGTGGATAGAGCGTTGGCCTGTGGACTGAAAGGTCCCAGGTTCAATTCCGCTCAAGGGCATGTACCTTGGTTGCAGGCACATCCCCAGTAGGGGGTGTGCAGGAGGCAGCTGATCGATGTTTCCCTCTCATTGATGTTTCTAACTCTCTATCTCTCTCCCTTCCTCTCTGTAAAAAATCAATAAAATATATATTAAAAAAAAAAAAAAAGAATGAGGACTCTGAAAATGTTAGAACTGCACTACTGTTACTGATGTTTATTTAGTCATTTATTGATACATTATGATAAAAATATACAATGATATACACAATGTAAAAAATTTCAAATAAAGTAGAATTTCAGAAATAACTCATATAGTTCCTCATGATAATCTACTTTGTTGAAATCTCTTGGATAAAAAATAAGAACTGAATAGCTATTTATGTATGGAAAAAATTCTTGACTCTTTAAAACATAAATTCTGAATTTCTTTTTATTGATCAACATAGTTGGGTTCATCAATGACTGAAGAAAATATTTTATTAAAATGCATATATTTGACCAGTTTTGCTACTTTAGAGTTAAGTATTGGCTTACTAAATGTTGGCTGAAATCTGAATAAATTTATTCACACAAATTCATTTTTATGTTTCATTCCTTACCAGAGTAGATTAATTGTAGGAGGGGGAAAAAAAGCAACTCATTTTTTATCCCTCTATTAAAAGGCTAATAATTAAAGTAAACTATAATGAGGTCACTGTACCTGCACTATTATAATCTAAGTAGAGTCTAGGCTGGGAAGAAGATAAATAAGATGTAACCACTACAGTGTTTCCTAAAACATACTACTGCTTTCAGGTGCTGCCAACCTGAATCTGCTATAAAACTTGAAGGTGAAATACTTTGGAAAAAACACCATTTCAAAAATCTAGTGGAGAAGATCCACTAGAAAAAAAAAGAAATTTACAACGCCAAAATAATAATAATAATCCTTTTTAAACTGTGGTAAAATATACAAAGCATAAAATTTACCATCTTAACCATTTTTAAGTTTATAGGTCAGTTAGGTTAAGTATACTCACATTATTGTACAACCTATCTCCAAAACTCTATTTCTCTTGCAAAATTAAAGCTATTAAACAGCTCATTCCCCTCTTCCCCCAGCCCTGGCAACTACCCTTCTAACTTTTTGTTGCTATAATTTGACTACTCTAGCTACCTTATATAAATGGAATCACAGTATTTGTCTCTTTGTGATTGGCTACTTTCACTTAACATAATGTCCTCTAGGTCCATCCATGTTGTAGCATAAAAACAACCTATTTATTAAAACAATCTATCTATAATAATAAAAGCATAATATGCTAATTAGACCAGAGGTCCTTCTGGACAACCTTCCGGACGAAGCGGGGTCCCAGGTGCCAGAGGAAAGCCACTGCCGACAGCTGGGGAAAGGAAGGCCTACTCTTGAACGAATCTCGTGCATCAGGCCTCTAGTTTATTATATCTCTGTAGGTCACAAGTCCAAGCACAGCGCAACTGGATTCTCTGCTCAGGGTTTCAAAATTAATGTGTCTTCTGGGGCTGCAGTTCTCATCTGGGACTTGGGGTTCTCTTCCAAGGTCTGGCTGTTGAAAGAATTCACTTCCTACCAGCTATTGGCCAGAACTGCTCTCAACTCCTACAGGCCACTTGCAATTCCTTGCCACATTCCCTACCTCTCCCATCGTCAGTTTACAACACAGACATCTGCTTTCTTCCAAGCAAGCTAGATCATGTCTCTCTGACCTCCTCTTCTGCAACCAACTGTAGAAAACTCTCTGCTTTTAAAGGGCTTGTGGGATTAGATCGGGACCAAGTAGATAATCTCTCCCTATCTTAAGGGATTTCTTATGCAAAATCCCTTCACAGCAGTGCCTATATTACTGTTTGAATGAATAAGTGGGGGAAAGAATGTATACACAAGAGGCCAGGAATATTGGGGGGCCATCTTACAATTCTGCCTACCACACATAGGTAGGTATGAAAATGCATGACAGTTCTAAGCACGCATAATGCAATGTGCCTAAAATAAAGGTATATACAGGATGGGGGCATGCTAGGAATAAGGCTGAAAAATAACCAACACTATGGGGAGTGCAAAATATTTTAGGCTCAGTCTTTCAGAAAATAAGGAATTATTAAAGGTTTTTAAACCTGGATATACTATTAGGGTCTGATGGACCTATTTTTCACTTTTGAACATGTCTATTTGTAAAGATTGATATTTCATCACTTTTTTTCTTAGAGAACTTAAAAAACACACACATAAAAGGCTTGGTGCCTGGTGTCTTTATCAAAGACAAAGTACCCAGTGAACAGAAAAGTACTAATGCCTATAAATTTCAGTTGATTCATTTAGCTATAATATATTTTAAACTGCTGAAACTGGCTAATGAAAATTATATCATTTGAAAACACTGGAACCAGAAGATATGACTTATTGTTCAGACTGTTTTCCACTGTAACTTTTTCATTGACAATTATATTACTGTCCATTGAAATAACTTTACATTAGATTTGGTTCTCCTTCATATATTCTAAGAAAAAAACATACAAAGCTGGTTCCTAGCATATAAAGAATCATTCTTACCACATCTTTGAAGCTTAGCAAAAAATGAAATTGTTCATTTATTCAACTGGGCATTTCCTGGCTCACTTTTTACCACTGTGATTAGAAAATATAAAAAGGTTTTATTAATGTGTTAAGATATTGCTTTACTTTAGTTCCAGGCTTAATTATTGGTTATCCTTAATATAACTATTTAGTGTAGATGTTCACACTCTGGAATAAATATTGCTTTGTATTAAATATTTTAAAGATGTTTATGTCCATTTTATTTTTAGAAATTCTTGTAAAAAACAATCTGATTAAATTTCTTGTAAAAACAATTCCTTCAGTTTATCTCTAGGAGGACTAATTCACTACATCTCTAGCTAACAAAGTATGTCTGTTAGTCCCAATCGGGCTGCTATAACAAAATACTCCTGACTGGGTAGCTTAGAAACAACAGAAATCTATTAACAGTTCTGGAGGCTGAAAAGTCTAAGATCAAGGCACCAGTGTGACCACATTTGGTGAGGGCTCTCTTCCTGGTTCATAGCTGGCGCCTTCTTGCTGTGTTCTCACATGGTGAAAGGGGCAAGGGATCTCTGGAGCCTCTTTGATAAGACACTAATCTTATTCATGAGGATTCTATTCTCATGACTTAAGCACCTCCCACTGCTTAATGTCATCATCTTGGGGGGTTAAGATTTCAAAATATAAAATGTGGGGGATATATTTAGACCACAGCAGTATGTATGTAGATGAAAAGACAGTAGAAAAGCCAAAAGTATCAATATTGCCATTCATATATATTATTTCTACGACTGTCCTTACATATATAACTTCATATGAAAAAAGAAAAGGAAATGCCACTTCTCTACATTGGAATTTAGCTTTGATTTTGATAAATATATTACTCTCAGAAATTATATGTGGTTTTAATTCTTTAGCTATTAAGACTAAGATATAACTCAATTTAACTCAAGAAAATATTATTGAAAATCAGAGTGAGTCTAAAAACAAGGAAAAAAGTCATTTACATGAAGTAAAAATATAGACAACCAAGAAAGTTGACTTTAGATTCAAATTACTGAAACTTTCAAAAGTGTAATCTACGAAAGTGGAAAAGAGTGCTCCTTTTCCCTTCAACTATGAAAATATCAAGCTACCTCTAAGAATAAAAATCCCATACACATAAATAGTCCCCTTATATAACAAGCACTGCTTCAAAACGTTTTTAGTCTTTAAACTGTCAAGTAAAACAGTAATAGAACAATTAGGCAGTGCCTTAATCAATAATTAAGTAAAACAACATATGATGTTTAGAAAACTATAAGTCCCCTGTTGCTTCTAGCCCTAGGAATCTTATCATGGTAATCCCACATGATTTTCTAAAGGCAAAAGAAACAATAAGTATTCCCCTACCTTGTAAGATGGCAAGAAACACAAAATTCCTTGGCCAACAATCTGGCACACAGATAACAGAAGTGCTCCCACTTCATCCTGGAACTCAAATGTTTCTGTGTGCTGGAAGGTAGCACAGAGATTCCGACCCTTGGGTCCTGACCCAATGGTGCCAACCCAAACCTAGAATATAAATATATTAGTATTAGAGTTATGCCTAAACTAGGCAGGCAATTTAGCATTTAGTTGGGAGCCTTAATTACATATATATCAAAAGAAGATCAAGCAACAAGTTTAGAGGAAATTTATTTTTAAATTCCCTTTACATAATTATATATAGATTTAATTTATAAAAGTTTTATTTTTAGGCAGATCATTGAATTCTCCTAGGATAAAAGCAAAAAGGGTTTCACTTATCTATTCCCTAAATGGCTTTGTACAATTAAGCATGTAACAAAATTATGTTGGATGATGTGAACAAATGAAATGGATAAATCAGAAATAGTCCAAAGTATTAGAGGTAAGGACTGGTATGATCTGCTATAGACAAGTTTCTAAGATTCAACTATGACATGAACTACTCTTTCATAAATTCACTGATATTCAAAGATCTACAGTCATAAAAAAAATCAAACTCACGAAATTTTACAGCTCTATGCAATTCCTCTAACTCATACAGATCTAGCCTTAGTGTAGTTAATTTGATTAAGAGAAAGAACAGACTTTATTAGTAAGCCACAGAAAATACAAACAGTTCAGATTGCTAAAAAATGTAATAATATTATATTTTGAAATAATGTATAAGATTGAAGTACATTGTACAAGATAACATCTGACGGACACCATATTAAGCAATTATTACTTAAATGATCAACTAGTAACATAAAAAACTGACATGTTTCCTGACACAAAGCAATGAAAAGTAACAATACCACCTGTATAGTATTCTTATCAAACTGCTTAACCTGAATCTTATAATAAAGAAACAATCAGATAAGTCCAAATTATAAGCCTTTCCTTAAGGAAACAGGTAAATTGAATTCTTCATAAAACGTCAGATAGAAAAAAAAAAAAAAAAGGCAAGAAAACTGTTTTTAAGACCAAAGAAACATGAAAACCAAAAGCAATATATAATTCTTGTGTGGATCCTGGATTAAGAATTTTAAAAATAGGTTGAAAGTAACTAAAGAAATATAAATATTGACTCTATTATATCAATATTAATTATTTCTCTCTTCCACACTCTCTAAAAATCAATGGAAAAATATCCTCAGGTGAGGATTGAAAAAAAAGAAGAAACAGAAAACAGATCAATAAATGACAATAAAAACATTTTTAGGAAAATTAAAGTAATATCTATATGGTATTATTATAAAAAATTAAAATCTTAAGTCACAGGACTCATAAGAGTACTTCTAATTCATTTCAGATACTCAAATATGTGCCCAACACTTGCTAACTAGTGCTAGATAGATATTAGTCTAGGTACAGTAGAAGAATGTATACATAAAAAGAAGAACAAGGATACACCATAGTCTAATGGAAAAGAGAAACACATAAACAAATAATTAAACAATAGAAACTATGGTAAAGAAGCTGAATTTTGTTTTGGTTTTCATTTTTATTTTAAAAAAAACACATTAAAACTTATTTAAATGAGGAAATTGCAATACAGTCTTTGCATCCAAAGTATATATTTTTATTCAGTGAGTTGAAGGAATGCATTCATTAGTATTTCTTTTTTGTTGACACTATCAAGTAGCTGACAGATTTTCCTTTATTCTAAAACTGAAATGTTGATTTTCCTATCAGGATCTGTTTGCTAGTACTTCCAATTTGTTTATGTGCAATTATATTGAGGTAAAAAGACTGAACGCCTTCAAAAAAAAATCCTAACCTGTGAGTTATTAATGACATGATTAGCTTCCAGTTGGATAGTAAATGTAACACCCAGTTCTGATGAAAAGGATTTCATTGGTGATAACGTCCCAGATGTCAAAACAATCGTCCACACTTTGCCATTAATATCTGAAAAGGCCTAGAAGGAAACATTAGATATATAAAATCATCTTTAAAAGAGTCAGCACATTTATTTGTTTGTATTGAGTTAGAAGACAGAATTTTCATATACAACAATCAGCTTACCACAGCTGGATTTAAGCACCAAAAGTTTAGCACATGAACTGCAGTTTTCTGTCGTGAACGTTTCTTATTTTTTGGTGGAACAAAGAACCCATTTTTATCAGAAATATCAGTCTGATTTATCCAAGAATAAGTCTGTTGAATAGCAACTTTATAATCATCTGCAAACCTAAATGAAAGTAAATGTTAATTAAATGGCAAGGCTTTATAAAACCTATACTGTCCCAGCTACATACAAGAAAAAAATTGATTATATTAAAACTGAGTCCTGTATCTTCCCCAAAACTATTTTGCCTATGAAACACCTACCACTAATTAAATTCAGTAATTCTGATAGAAAATAAGCCATTAAGTCTTAGAAGCAACCCCCTCTTATAGAGATTAGATATCATCTAACAATCCACCCTTTATCATTCCCCTCCCTATGATCAAACACTACATAAATCATGGCAGAGCCAGAATTAAAATCCAAGCCTCCTAACTCCTAGTCCAGAGTTCTTTGTACTCTATGTTATATCATTAGTTATAAAATAGATAACTAGCATTATTGTTAGAAAAAACTAAAGTCGTTTATACTTTTTTATTACATGAGAAAGTAGGAAAACATTCATTTTTACTGAAAGTTTAAAAAGTTCAGGAGACTACAAAAATGTTAACTTCCTTTAATATTTGGGTCTCAGTCTTCATCTATTTTTAACAAAGGTATTGAACCAGATGGCCTCTGTAATCCCATTTTATAATTTCTTTCAATAAGAGGCTATAAACACCTAGGCCTAAAGAGAATAAAATGTGGTATTCTCTACCAGTCCTCAGTTTTTCTCTTAGATAAGGTCTCGATGTTCAAGGCAGAAACCCTACAATCTGTGAAGAGAATTTTATAAAAATATTGAGAGCTAAAAACTATAAAACCCTTAGAAGAAACATAGGGGGAAATCTTCATGACATCAGATTTATCCATGGTTCTTGGATATACCAAAAGCACAAGTAAGTAAATTGACTTTAAAGAAATAAATAAATTGGACTTCAAATTTTTAAAACTTTTATATATAAAGGATACTATCAAGAGAGTGAGAAGACATCCATAGAATGGAAGAAAATATTTGTAAAGCATATATCTGATACAGGATTAACATGCAGAATCTATATATATAAAAGCCTAAGCAACTGAACGATTGGTCAACTAGTCACTATGACACACAATGACCAGCAGGGGGCAGACGCTCAATGCAGGAGTTGCCCCCTGGTGGTCAGTGTGCTCCCACAGCAGAAGCGCTACTCAGCTGATTGACACGCGCCAGACGCCAGGCTCACAGCTGGCAAGAGCAGCTGTGGTGGCGCAAGCCTCTCCCGCTTCCACAGCAGCGCTAATGAGCTGCGGCGGTGGCAGGCACAGTGGGGCAGGGATCAGCAGGAGCAGCGCAGCACCTGACCCGGGCTGGACTCCTCCCCAACCACCTGTGCTTCGTGCACTACTACATCCCTCTGGGGATGTTGGATTGCCAGTTTCCGCCCGATCCCCACAGGGGATCCAGCAGTCTAACATCCCCCAAGGGGTCCTGGATTATGAGAGGGTGCAGGCCAGGCTGAGGGACCCCACCAGTGCATGTGCACTGGGCCTCTAGTATATAAACAACTCCTACAGCCCTGGCCAGGTAGCTCAATTGGTTGGAGCATCATTCCATACAACAAAAGGCTGTGGGTTTGATTCCTAGTCAAGGCACATACCTAGGTTGCAGGTTCAATCACCTATCAGGGCATGTACGGATGGCAACTGATGGATGTTTCTCTTTCACATTGGTCTCTCTCTCTCTTTCTCTCTCTCCCCCCCACCCCTCTAAATGAATGGAAACATGTCCTTAGTGAGAATTATAAATAATAACTCCTACAACTCAACAACAAAAAACCCAATTCAAAATGGATTTAAATAGATATTTCCACAATAACGATATACAAATGGACAATAAGCACATGATAAGATGCTTGACATTTCTAGCCATTAGGAAAATATAAGCCAAAACAACAGGAGATACCATTATGCCCATTAGAATGGCTACTATTAAAAACAAAAACAGAAAGAACAAGTGTTGGCAAGGATGTGGAAAAATTGGAACTCTTGTGTGTAACTATGAGAATCTAAACTGTGCAGCTGCTGTGAAAAACAGTATGTTGGTTCCTCAAAAACTTAAATACAGAATTACCATATGATCCTGCAATTCCACTGCTAGGTACATACTCAGAAGAAGTCAAAGAAAGGACTCAATATGATACTCCTACATAAGTGTTCACTGCAGCATTATTCACAACTAGAAGCACAGTGCACGAAATTCATGCACATTAAAAGGGAATTAATTGCCCTAACCAGTTTGGCTCAGTGGATAGAGCATCGGCCTGCAGACTCAAGGGTCCCGGGTTCGATTCCGGTCAAGGGCATGTACCTTGGTTGCAGGCACATCCCCAGTGGGGAGTGTGCAGGAGGCAGCTGATTGATGTGTCTCTCTCATCGATGTTTCTAACTCTCTATCCCTCTCCCTTCCTCTCTGTAAAAAATCAATAAAATATATATTTTTTTAAAAAGGGAATTAATTAGCGGAGATATTTTAATATTGCTATTTGCCCTTTCTCTATAATAGAAGTGTGAGAGATGAAAGGAAATTAGTAAAATGTATATGAAAATAATATATAAATTAATAAACAGTAACAAAAAGATATAACAACAGAGGCATGATATAAAAACGGCAGAAACATGATATGAAAACAACAAAAACATGATATAAAAACAACAGTGATGCAAACAATGACTGATAAAGTGATTAAACTTATTCTAATATCTCCCTGTACACCACATTAAGAGTGAAAACACTTTCAGAGTGCTTGACTAATTTCCCTTGTGATGAAGTACTTAGAACTTTAACTGTAACGTCACGTGCTCTTCAAACTCGACAGAAAGCAACATATAACTGACCCATGTGCAAAAACGGGTTCAGGTAGGAATATGCCTACTCTGTCTAGAGTTTGTCCTTGTGATTTATTAATAGTCATCACAAATGCTGGCATCACAGCAAACCGTCGTCGAATCAATTTAAATGGGAGGCCAGTGTCAGATGGGGACAAATTAATTCTTGGAATCAGAACAGCCTCTCCCTCTGCAGATCCTGTTAATACTTCAGCTTCGATAATGTTAGGTCGTAATCTTTTGATAATAAATCTGGTACCATTACAAAGACCCCATTTACTACTGAGATTTCTCAATAGCATGATGATTGCACCCACTTTCAATTTTAATTTATGACACGGCATCCCCGAAGGAGTAATACTAAGAAATTCGATGGGAAAATTTTCCTTTTCAGCATCATCTGTGGAATCAATGGAATCATCACTCAAATATGTGTGAAAATCTCCATCGAGTATATCCAAAATTTCTTCGTTTAATTTTTGAACATGCTCATTTTTTGGACAAAGAATTGCACATTTAGATATATTTTTAATATTATCTATAGATATAGTATTTCCAAAGGTAGCTTCAATAATAGATCCATTACAAATCATTTCACAGGGGATTTCAATAATATCCATTCCTAAATGAAAACTGCTATCAAATTTGCCATCTCCAAGTTTTACTAACCATCCACTATAAGGAGAATCCTCTAATCTCATATTTGTTGTAAGAGACAACTTACTGAAACATCCCCAAACATTGCAGTACTTTAAACTCGTTTGTACTATGGCCGATCACATAGCATGCGGTACAATACTGAGACATTGTCAAAAATCTCCTCCAAGAAGGAGAACTTTCCCACCAAATATAACATTCAAATTTGTCTTAGTAATCTGTCTATGGCGTTTATAGCATGACTGGATGCCATGGTGCATTCATCAATAATGAGAAGTTGTGCCTTTTTAATAGTTTTAGCAACTTCACTCTTTATATTGAGTCTAGAAATTGAAGTTTCATTTAACGGAATCCGTAATTTATATTGGGAATGAAAGGTGCTTCCACCGAGAAGTAAATTTGCAGCAATTCCTGTAGACGCTGTGGGTAAAACAGTACCACCACGACCTCTAATATAATGTATTAAAACTTTATACAGATATGCAGGTGAATAGGATTCCTAGCTGACAGGCCTCTGACAGCAAGCTGGCCACCTGTGGATTCCGTGAGGAATGGGGCTCCCTCCTCCCTCCTGTAAGGGTCCGGGGTGCAGGTGAATGGGGTTCCTGGCTGGCAGGCCACTGACAGCAAGCTATTCAACAGCAGATTCTGTGAGGAATGGGGCTGCCTCCTCCCTACTGTCAGGGTCTGATTTGAAGGCCAGACTCAGTACTTCCACGCTCAGCTCCGAGGGCGGGTTCCTGCCTGAAACCTCGCCCTCCAGGAAACAGCTGGGGGAGAGCACAGCTGTTTCCAAGACGACCCCTGCAGGACTGACTTCCTTCCGGTTGGTCGAGGTTCTGGACGTGATGTTACACCCAGGGTTTTTATATAAGTAGATTGGCAAAAGGTACAAACAATCCAAATGTACATCAATATGGTAAACTAAATGTGATATATATATAGAATCTTAATCAGCCATTAAAAAGAATGCTATTCTGATATATGTTACAGCACAGATGAACCTTGAAAAGTGAAATAAGCCAGACACAAAAAAACAAATATATATGGCTCCACTTATATGAGATACCAAGAAAGGGCAAATCCATAAAGATGAAAGTAGAATAGACGCTGTGAAGAGAGGAAAATGGTAGATATTTGGGAGATATTGTTTCATGGGTATAGAGTTCCTATTTGGGATGACAAAAAAGTTCTAGAAATGGTTAGTGGTGGTGGTTGCACAACAATGTGAATCTACTTAATGCTACTAAAATAGACAGTTAAAAATGTTTAAGAGGATAAATTTTATGTTATGTACATAATACCACAATTTAAAAAACAAAACACTAGAATCAGGGAGTACCATAACTGCTTTTCATTTTCCACAATTCACTAAATAGAGGCTTTATGCAATAAGAAACTTTCTAATACTGGAAGAAACATATGTAAACTATACTTAAAAGATAACTTAAATGCTTAAATTTAGTCCTAGAGGACTATAAACTTAATGCTGAATTAATGTATCTATTGATTTCAATACTTATTTCCATTAATAAAGACTAATTTCAATTAATCTGAATCTGTGCCAAGAAGAGCAATATTTCCACCAATTGTTTATTATTATCCTATGTACTCATACAAAATAAGAATGTATTAAACACATGCTAGCCCTGACCGGTTTGGCTCAGTGGATAGAGCGTCAGCCTGCGGACTCAAGGGTCCCAGGTTCGATTCCAGTCAAGGGCATGTACCTTGGTTGCGGGCACATCCCCAGTAGGGGGTGTGCAGGAGGCAGCTGATTGATGTTTCTCTCTCATCAATGTTTCTAACTCTCTATCCCTCTCCCTTTCTCTCTGTAAAAAATCAATAAAATATATTTAAAAAAAAAAATAAACACATACTAACATCCAATAAGGCTAATATTTTTAAGAGAAAAAATACAGATAGATATCTTCATTTACCTGCTATTTTGCCTAAAAAGATAGTCAAGCACCATAAAAAGTCCTTTGAGCATTATTTGAGTTGAAGCACTAATAACAGGTACTTCTCTTGTCTCCTCTTTACCATGAACCAGTAACATTTTTTCTTCTTTTTGAAGGACAGCAGAAAAATGTCCCTATAAGAAATTACAATATTAAGTATACAGTGGGGAAGTGTTACGGAGTAAAACAAACTTTTCAAAGCTATAATGAAACCCAAATGAAATATACATTGAAATTTTAGGCAAACATTACTAATACACAAATGCTAACAATATGCTTTAGGTTCCCACATTATCTTCAAAGACCTTTAATAAAATTATATATTTAGGAGGTTCATTACATCTTCAGGTAATCAATATATTATTTAGTACCCTTCAAAAGTAATGAACTACATAAAAATGTACTTACCAAATGGCTTCTCCATGGAGCTTAAAAGAGTTGATATGTGACCTAAATGTCTGAATTATTTTCAGTGTACTCTGATACTCAAAATAATACGACTATATTACAAGAAAAATTAAATGAATGAACCAAAGCTAATTCTAAAATTCAAATGGCAGAGTAAGGCCAAGAATAGCCAAGATCATTCCAAAGGAAAAGAACAAAGTGAAGAGATATGCCTTACCAGATATATCAGCATTTTTCTAACAGTAATAACACATATGACAGTTTAGACCAGTGGTTCTCAACCTTCCTAATGCCGCGACCCTTTAATACAGTTCCTCATGTTGTGGTGAACCCCAATCACAAAATTATTTTTGTTGCTACTTCATAACTGTAATTTTGCTACTGTTATGAATCATAATGTAAATATCTGATATGCAGGATGTATTTTCATTGTTACAAATTGAACATAATTAAAGCATAGTGATTAATCACAAAAACAATATGTAATTATATATGTGTTTTCTGATAGTCTTAGGCGACCCCTGTGAAAGGGTCGTTTGACCCCCAACAGGGTCGCGACCCACAGGTTGAGAACCGCTGGTTTAGATAAACAGAATCATAGAATAGAGTTCAAAATTAAATTCACACATAAATGAAAAATTAGATGTGACAGATATGGCATTACAAATAGAGGGAAAAGTGGACTATTTAGTAAATGATGAGAAAATTCACTATCCATACAGGAAATCAAAATGGATTCCCTACCTCACGAGATACACAAAAACAAATCACATACTCATAACATTTTGCATACTATTTCATAATGTTCACAGTATCCCATAGCCCACTCAGATCTCCATCCACCTAGGTTTATATAACCACTATTCTGAGAACAAAATATGAACTTCTTACCTATTTATTTTCCAAATTTTTAACTTTTACAATTAACAAAATAAATTTACAACCTAAACATATTGACTTCTTTTATCTTTGAACTAGTGGTCCAGCGCGCGAAATCGCGTGAGACCCAGACCCGCGGGAAATTGCGCAATACCTGGGACCCCCAAGTCCCACCGCGCCACGAGACCCAGAGTTAAGTCCCTGCCCACCGTGTGCGCCTCGCCACGCACACAGCCTCCTGGTGACCAGTCTTTGGTCCTTACGGCATTAGGGCCACTGGGTTTTTATAATATAGATAAGCAATTCATTTCTTTAAGCCTCATTTCCTTCAAACTAAATACTACTACTTTTTCATCCATAATTTATGCCATCACACATAAGCCTGTCAAACTTACATAATAAAATTTTAAAACAAATTGCTATATTTTTTACCCTGGATAAAACTTATTCACTATTAATCATTTCTAATTCACTAAATGAATTTCCACAGGTGGAAATCTTACCTGCAAAATGGGAAAAGTAGCAGTGGTGATGCCCATTTTGTGGAAATTTAAGAGCATTTCACTTCCACTCCATATTTTACAGGATGATTCATAATCCCGTTCCACAAGATGTTCAGAGTTTGCTTCTAACCAACTGGAATAAAATAAAATAGTCCCCATCAACCAGTATCATCCTATAGGCACCATTTTCACAGAACAGAGAATTGAGATATGTTCATCTGGATTCCTTGAAGATCTTAGGACACAAATATGGATTAATTAAGACATATTTGTGTCCTAAAAGCATGCAAATCTCATACCAGTATTACAAAATAAACATTCACATAGCTAAAAAGCAAGCTTTCAATCAGAAAACAAACAAACAAACAAACAGGCTTTTATTCACAAAAGAAAAACAGGCAGCGTTTTGTGGACTCAGCTGCTTTACTTGACTCTCTCCAAATGAGAGCCATGTCTTGGGAGCTTCATCCCAAATACACATTAAAGGAAATACAAAACTACCTAATAAAAAAATTTAAGTTACATATTAACACACAAAAAAGAGAATTAGTAGAGCCCTGGCTGGTTTTTCTCAGTGGGTAGAGCATTGGCCTGCGGACTGAAAGGTCCCTGGTTCGATTCCCGGTTAAGGGCACATGCCTGGGTTGTAGGCTCGATCCGCAGTAGGGGGTGTGCAGGAGGCAGCCGATCAGTGATTCTCTCTCATCATTGATGTTTCTCTCTGTCCCTCTCCCTTCCTTTCTGTAATCAATAAAAATATATTTTTTTAAAAAGTGAATTACTAGAAAATATATAAATATATTCATTAATTTATATACACATGTGTACATCCAATAATTGCTTAAATGCCAATTATTATGCCAGACAACTATACTAGGTAGTAGAAATACAGCAGTACATAAAATAGGGAAGGCCCTTATTCTCATGGAAATTACATTCTACTAAAGGAAGAAAGAAATTTAGAAACAAATACATGAACAAGAAAATATCAGGTAGTAATAAGAAGAATAATGAAACTAAATTAGATTAATATAATCTAATTGCTGCTTCAATTTGAATATCAAGAAGGCTCTCCTTGAGGTAACATTTATTCTAACAACTGAAGGCAAATGTACTTAGTCATGGCAGTATTGAAAGCAAAATGTACCCAGTCCTGGGAGGGTCAGAAGAAAATCATGCAAAGATCCTGAGGTGGTTCACAAATTATCCTCCTTTAAGGACCTGAAGAAAGCCAATGTATTTGCAACACAATGGGCAAAAAGGAATAATGGTATGAATAATGTTAGAGTGATAAGCAAGAATCAGATCATGTTAAGCCAGGATAAGAAATTTGAATTCTATTCAAAATGCAATGGGAAGGTTTTAAATGGAGGATTTTAAATAAGAGAGAGAGACCATCTATTCTAAGTGTTTAAAAGATGATTCCTGCTTCACAGTCACAATGGAGAAAGGCAAGAGTGAAAGCGGAGACTGGTTAGGAGGCTGTTACAGTATTCTAGTTGAATGGTAGACATGAGACAGGAATTTGGGATATTTTGTGCAGGTGGCATTTACAAGACTTACTGATAAATTGAATGAGGTGGGGCGGTAATCGAGAATTATACTTAAATTTTCTATTTGAGAAAATGATTAGTACTGTTTGCTTAGATGAGAAAGACAGGGGGTTAGGTAGGGGAAGGGAATAAGTTTTGTTTTGGAAAGCTGAAATTTTATATCCAAACAAAGATATAAAGTATAGTTGGATTTATGAACATAGCACTCCTGGGAGAGGTTGGGGCTAGACACAGGTTCAGGCCTCGGCCGTACTGCTGTGGGACTGGGTTATATAATTTAGGAGAAATGCAGAGCTAGAAATGAAATGAGGTCCTAGGACAAAGTCCTGAGGCACTTCAACATTTAGACATCAAACAAAACAAGAACTATCAAAAAATTGAGAATGGATGGACTCATTATGCATAAACATGCACTAAATGATAAATTTGTATAGGAGGACAAGAACTAAGCATATGGGGGTGGGGTGAGAAGGAGGTTTTTACAACAGAAATTTGTGTATACCTTTTCTGTTCAAACATGTGACTATGTAACTTTCACATTTTTAAAAAGTATACTGTTAAAGGAACAGAAAAATGCTGAGATAAATGAAATAGGATGTAGAGTCAGGGGAGGTTTTTTCTAAGATCCTATATAATAAAAGCCTAATATGCTAAGTGTCCGGTCATCCATTCAACCAATCAAAGCGTAATATACTAATGATATGCTAAGACTGCTCAACCGCTCGCTATGATGTGCACTGACCACCAAGGGGCAGACAGTCGACTGGTCGACCAGTGGCTATGACGTTCACTGACCAGCAGGGGCAGATGCTCCAACTGGTAGGTTAGCTTGCTGCTGGGGTCCAGCCGATCAGGACTGAGTGATACAGGCTGGACACACCCTGGAGCCCTCCCATAGTCCCTCCCCAGCTGGCCAACCTCCCGTGTCCCTCCCCGGCTCCAATCGTGCACCAGTGGGGTCCCTCGGCCTGGCCTGCGCCCTCTCGCAATCCAGGCTGAGGGATCCCCCCCAAGTGCACCAATTTCGCACCAGGCCTCTAGTAAAGAGATAAAAAACCTAATGTCTAATGAAAGAGAAATTATGTAATATAAATCTTAATGAAATTACTACTAAATATATTATTTTATAGTATTGAAATATTGGTTAATTGAAATTCATTAAACTAGAATTCTACTCAAACTGGACGATAAAGCAATAAATTAAAGCCATATCCAGAATTTTAAAATGTTAATTAAAACCATTAATTTATGTACAGCCCAATGTCCTATACACAGCATAAGTGGCTGTTAAATTATCCTGTTAAATTAAGAATAAGATTCACAATTATCAATTTAAAAAAATCTATTCTGTCCATTATGTTCTTTTGAATAAGACAAAAGTTTGGACTAGGCCTATTTTTAAAAGTTCAACTGATAAGGAACAATCCATTTCCAAAGTAGCCTGGTCAAAGTTTGCTAACAATAAAATACTCTGCAAAATAAAACATGTTTTTAATACAAAGGCAGCACAAATGACACTGATAGACAAATGTTCTTACTTAATGAGACTGCAGCACACAGCTTGTAAGGGTTCATGGTCTTTCTTCCTTATGTTATTGTTGACCATGCTATCTAGTTCATCTCGAGCAAACCGAAGCTGAACTTCCGTTATACTATAACTTGCTGATTCCCGAGCACAGTCCTCAATGTTATGAGCTTCATCTAAAATGACAACCTGTTCTTTCAGATTGATATCCATCTATAAGATAAAAAAAATTCCCCGTAAAACTTTCAGCAAAATGCATTTAACAGCAGTAGGTAAGATGTTTCATTTAAAAATTCACACTATAGGCCAATATTGCATGTGCAACTGATTCCAGGCCTTAAAACTTCTAAAGCACTAAAGCCAACCAAATATCAGCTCAACATTACAAAGTTTGCCATTTTTCACTCTCAAAATACTTTGCAAACCTATCACAACCAAAATAATGTGTTAAGTGAGTCTGGATTAAAGTACAGCTGGCTACACAAAGGAGCATAAAAATCCCTCTATGAAGGGATCTCCAACATAATTTAAAAAGCAGAGTAAAAAAAAACCTTTAAAAGTAAAATAACAATACAAGATTCAAAAGACTCAAAACATTAATGTATCTTTCGTTTTAGTCTGTCCTACAACACTTCATTGTAAGAACCGCTCTTCCCCAACTCCTATGTGATGTTGATAGGACTGTTAATCTGTTAATCAAGGGACATCACCACTCTTACTACATGGGTAGACTCAGAGACTAGGCTTGTCAATTAAAAAAAGTATTACATCCCTACATGGTCACAGTGACTGGTACAAGAATGAATATGAGATCCAAACTAGGCCAATCAGAGTAATTTGGGGTGACTAATATAAGATCATGTTCTTTTTTCCAGGTTAGCTAGCTAGCTACCTCTGGTTATCTTTGTTCCCATTGAAAAGAACTTGCCTGAACATAAAGCCATCACAATGAAGAGTTAATCAAGTGGTTTTTCTTAAGCTCTAATGAAGCTGAGTTTGTGTCACTTGCCATTGGAAAAGTCCTGATTAACACCAAGAAATGTCACAAAGCAACTGTCAATGAGTTACTCTGAAGAAATAATAAAATACAGAGGGTTGAAGATGACTGAGAAAGAACCATAGAAGAGTAGGAAATACACGGGGCTTAAGGAGGAATAGGACTTGGATTTGGATAGAAGAGAGTAGGGCATTTCAACACAGGTGTCATCCAAAGCAGAAATACAGGCCTGGCCAAATGGCTCAGTGGTTAAAAATAAAAAAGCAGAGATATAGGAAATAACAAGGAGTCCTCAGGGGACTATAAGGTAATTTTTATTGCTTTATTGATTTTAGAGAGAAACATTGACTTGTTGTTTCACTTATTTATGCATTCCTTGATTCTTCTTTTTTAATTTTTTTCTTTATTGATTAAGGTATTACATATGTGTCCTTATCGCCCCATTGCCCCCCCCCCACTCATGCCCTCACCCCCCTGTTGTCTGTGTCCATTGGTTAGGCTTATATGCATGCATACAAGTCCTTTGGTTGATCTCTCCCCCTTACCCCCACCCTCCCCTACCTTCCCTCTGAGGTTTGACGGTCTGATCGATGCTTCTCTGTCTCTGGATCTGTTTTTGTTCATCAGTTTATGTTGTTCATTATATTCCATAAATTCTTGTATGTGCCCTGATTGGGGATCAAACCCACAACCTTGGTATATCGAGACGACGCTCTAACCAACTGAGCTACCCAGCCAGGTAATTACCACTATGAGGTAATTTTTGAGTTCCAGTTGCGAGTTTGCAGCAGAGAAGGCTGAAAGAGCAGATTCAGGTCAGACTATTAAGAACTTGAAAGTAAGCTTAAAAAATATGGACTTTACCCAATGAGCAAAGAGCACTATGAGATTTTTAAGCAGAGGAAAGATTAACAAAAGTAATATTAGAAGACTGGTCTGCAGAGTTGCTCAGAAGAAAGAGACTTGGCCAAGAGATAGGATAAGAGGCAGGATAGTAGGGGTAGTAAACATAATTCTATTCATTTCAAACTTAAGGAAATAGAAAGCTAGAGTTTTGCAGTCAGATCTAAAGAGAGAAATAACAATTGAATATACCAAGTTATTCTGGGTGTTTTTTTTCTTATGCTGAAACAATTAGATGTCTCTAAGAAAAACCAGGCAAATAAACACAAATGATGTATACAAAGTTCAATTCTCAGAAGCTCACAAAGCATAATTTGCATAGTATGAATATTCTTCCAACATAAATTCTATAAAACAGATTCTTCAGATATTTTAAATGTTTTTAAATAATTCTTTCTGACTATTCATAAATGGAGAGAGTGATAGCTATAAATGGATCATAACTGGGCAATTTTGCCCCCCAGGGTATATTTGGCAAAGTCTGGAGACATTTTTTATTATTACCATGTGAGGGTGCTACTGGCGTCTAGTGGATAAAAACAGAGAAGCTGTTAAACAACCTATAATGCACAAGACAGCCCAACAAGGAATTATCCAGTCCAAAATGTCACCTCTAACAAGGTGATGAAAACCCTGCTATAATCCCACTTAAAAGTACTTATTACTTTGGAAATTAAAGCGACAAGATCTAAAATTCAATTTTTACTACACCTTACAATATGTTTTCAGTACTCTAATCTGTTTTATACACTTACATACATTAACTATAAAACAAAAAATAAAAGACATTAAAACATCTAAAAGCTTTCACATTCACCATGTATATCCCAATAAGTAGGAAAAAAGCTCTAATTTTTACGTATCTACTCACACTTTCCCTTATTTGTGCATCTAGAAGATAGTTGTAGGGACAAAATATTATGTCAGCGTCTTCTATTAGTTCTCGTGCTGTGTAATATGGACATGCCTTTAATTTTTTCCCCAAGCTAACGAGTTCTTCTATGTCCCAGGCCTTGCACATCCCTTGGAGAGTCTGGAATGTGTGTTGACCACTAATTTTATGAACACCATGATAAAAATAGCAGGATTTGCCCTAAAAACAAATATGCATAATTGAAATGTGAACCAATATTGGCACAGAGAAATAAAACAAGTTTATCTCAGAATTTTAGTAACATCATTAAAGCCACAAAGCAAAGATGAGACAAATTATACCATGTCTACCATCCCAAACTAATCAGAAAACTTGTATTTGTACAAAATGATCACTAAGGTAGGTGACTTCACAGTCTATGATTAAAAACTGTTAAATCTCATCCTAACAAAAGTAGATATTCTTGCATACCTGAAATATTATTTTAAAATTACTCCTGGGGCTAGTTAAGGTAATTTTTTCTTAACTGAAACAAAATTAACTTTTAACAGATAAATGCATTGCATTTCCAGTATAAGAGCACATTCATAAAAGAAACAGTGAACAAAAACACATGTGCCTTTGGATCAAGCCAAAAAATCAGAAAGTTTACACTTTAAGGGCACTTAGAATGACACTCCTGTACAGGCTGATAGCAAAACCAGAAAAGCTCATCCATTTTAGCAGTGTAACACAACCCTGAGGGCAGTCTGTCAATTAAAGCGTTATCACACTTTACACTCTTTTTCACTCAAACTGTCAGTTATCTATTTATCATTTCGCTTTGGTAATTCAGCCACAGTAAACATAGACACCTATGGTGACTTTGTAATTGGCCCTCATTACAATACCAAATTACCCTAAGGGCTTGGGAACAAGAAAAAGAATGTTCATGTATGCCTATGAGCTAAGCATTCTGAGGCAAAATTAGGTCAAGACAAACAACTAAAAGCAGGTATATTCAATTATGTACATAGCTAATATTTTTTAAAGACTTGTTTACTTTAAAACAGAAACTAAATGCTAATGAAAAATTCTAAACATTCAAGTCTATTGAATTACTTTTTATTTTTACACGATTCAAACTTATGACAGTAAAGATCAATCAAAAAACATAACCAGCACTACAGTATTCTAGGGATTACATAAAATAAGATTATCTGCTTTCAATGCACAATCTTAAACTTTATAATTGCTTTTAATAAGGAGATAATAATCGATTATGGTAAAATTTTCCCAATAACAAGTAAAAAATAGGCAATGCCAAGTCTTCTTGCATAAACTATATAGACAAAAGAGAAATTTCAAGAATTTGAGGAATCCAGTAGATTAATTAACCACTTATGGAAAGAAGTCTACTTAAAAGTGCACAAAATTTATGGGTTTTTATCATGAAGAGCCTTTTCTCTATTTTATTATTTTTTTAGTATTTGACTTTTTACTATTTTCATCTCTCCTTGAAGAGAACTTTTTAAATATTGTGAAGATTTCACAGTTCCTCAATTAAGAAGAACTTATTGGAAATAAATATGTAAATAGTATTTTCAACAATGGTTTTGATTCAATAATCTGTATTCTCTTCCTGACTCTGAACAAGTTCCCTAGTACTTCTACTTCATATTCACATGTCTGAATGCCTACTGAAACATCTTTTTAATATCCCAAACAAAGCTTGAATAAATTTCCATCTAATAAAATAAAGCAGAGAAAGAAAAGCATAATATAAAATAATTTATTTACATTATATAGTAGGAGGTGATATATCAATTAAATGAAACTCTAGGGGCTATAGCCATCTCCTTTTGTGTAAAAATAACTGACAAAATACTAGTGAAAAATTGAACTTTAAAAATGTATTAAAATATCATCGGTCATTTCATCTACTATCAATTTATAGTTCACCAATAATTTCTGGGTATAATTACAGACTCGTAACTTCCATTTTAGAGTAAGCTAGTTATCAAACAGGGACACAAACTACCAAACTAATACTATGCCAAAAAATTATTTAAAAGTCGTGTCTTTAGTAAGAAAGACTTCTCTATTTCCATCAAATTTCTAGTCCAAATTCATGTCAATCTAGATTTTCCTGGAAAACTTCAAAACCACAATGACATATCTTTAAAGTTAGTAATTTAATATAATTTTTTGGAAACAGAAGTTTGTGTTAATCAGAATGAGACAAGGTAATCATTATATTTCTCATTCAATTAAAAAAAACATTTTAAAATTTGCTCAAAGAAAACCTAAATAAACTATATTCCTTTGAAGTTTTAAATATGTATAAGACATTAATTAAATCTAGTCCATTTAAATACTTTTATCTCTTCATATGACATCATCCATGTTTGACTTACAAGAAAGTTAAGAAGACATCTGGTTTAAATGAAAATTAATTTCAAGGAATTAAATATCCCCAAACTTTAGGACAAAAACCATAATTTTAAACTTGAATAAAGATTTTTCTTGTGGTAAAATTAGTTTTCAAAAAATATTAATACTAGCAATTAATTTGATTTCGAAAGTTATTTGATTATAACTGGAAATGTATATATAAAAAATAAACAAAAAAATTGAGTTAATGTAATCCTTTTAACCTTATTTTTTTCTCAAAAACAAAGTAACTTTACTCACATTTTTTCCATCCAGCAATTCCATGCACTTTTCATTTCTGTTGAAGTTACCTACTACTTCAGGATGAACACAAGTATGATCCCTGCTGGAAAGAATAGTCATTGGGACCCTTGAGTACGCTGTCCTCCGGAGCTCTCTAGTAATTTGAGCAATCTGCTTGTGTGTACGTGTCCCAAAATATATTTTTGGTATCTTGGATTTCCCCCCATGATCCTTCTTAGTGGCATTTGAAGAATCTTGACTGTTTCCTTGTTTAGTAGAACAACAGCACCTAGCACAGTGACCAGAGGGCTGTATAAGAAAAGAAAAAGATAACTAACGTCGGAACTATCATAAAAAATGTCATCAAACCTCTCAAAGAATCAGAACCCATAGTAATGAATCACAACTTTCAAAAAATATCAAGATACCATCTAATACTTGCCATTAAAGAAAAACTACAAATTCCATTTCAAATTGGTTCTCTTCCACTCTTAAAACTTATAAATGATATTTTCATATTTGCACTGGTTCCTACATACCACTCCAACTCTCAAATTCCAAATGCTTTAAATACATTTTAACTTTACTCTTTCATAAATTATAATAAGATAATTTTAATTTTTGCTTAGGCTTCAAGTGAACAAGTGAGCTTAGAATTGATAGTACTATTTTGTTTACAGCACAGCCCATTTAAATATCCTGTAATATACCTATATTTTTAAAGTATTTAAAATATAGCTTACAAAAAAATAGAAATATCAAGTTGAATCTAAGTATCACTGAACAACAGAAGCAAAAACTATTCTCTAGCAAAGGTATGAAAATGAATGCATATTATTAATATTTAATAATAAAGGCAAGTTGCTTGTGTGGAACAAGTATATCTGAAATTCAATTACCTGTCATAAAATGCAAATCCATCAGTAAAATTATCATTCAGGATACCTTTTCCTGGACAATTTTACTCGTAATTCAGTTTCATAATTGAAATAGTTATATAAATGTCTCCTTAAATACACCATATATGGAACTTCAGGAATACAGTCTAATGTTTACCTGATTTTTTTCTCTCCTATTTCTAAACTCTCAAAAATAAAAAGCAGTTTAATGCTATATATTAGAACTCATGGATTCTTAATAACTACTACCTAACTTTAACCTTAATTACTATACATATGAGACAAGAGTGCAGCCTTATTAAGAGAAATTCCATGAAATGGTTAGTTTATAGAAGTGATCACTAATGGGGGGAAAAAAGCTAAGTAGCACAGTAGCGTAAGAGAATTTGTACTGTAGAGTTATAGTTTAGTAGAACAAATATACCATTTAACTGAAGTGTTTTGAAAAAAATATAATCAGTAAGATTAGCCTTCATCAACAAATGCTAAGTCATAGCATGTTACACCACAATACTGGGGCTCAAGCTGTCTTTTAGCCTCAACTCAGTGGAAAAGCAAGTTCAAATTACTGCCAGTCTCACTCAACCTTGTCCGCCATTAAATATTACAATACATGATAGAATGGATGTAAATGTGACCCTTCTGGAACTGTCACTCACTGGGATAAAAGGTTCACTGATGTGCCAAATAAACAGTCAAAGCAGATAAAGTTACAGCTATGCTGGAATTGTTACATTCCCCTCTCAGGTTGCCAGTAACAGCAGATTTCATTACAGAGTGCTGCCACATTAAATAGCCAGTTCCAAATATCCTGCCTTCTATATTGAATAATTACTTATTCACTGAAAGGATAAAAAGAAGAGTTATGAATGGGGCTCTTGTCAACAGTGAGGCAGGAAACAGCTGACATGTGGTTTATGTTACATATATTGCAATATCTGACAATTTATGGTCACACACAAAAATGGGATGCAAATTATATCATGATATTTCTGACTGAATTCTTTTTTGGCCTTTGCAATGATCACATTAATTAACACAGTAAAAGAATTAGGGTAACTCTAGGTAGCAGAATTAGTTTACTTTTTTATACCTTCAATCTTTTCACTCAATTATACTATTTCTCTTCCCTATGATAGTTAAATTTATCCTGAATATTAGAAAGCTGGGGTCTAATCATTGCTGTATACTATGTGGATCTATTCTATCCAAACATAAAAGTAATCCAGTAAAGTGGTCTTTTTTGAAGGCTTGGACATCATCTATATTTTGATGGAAGGAACACTTTTCAACACCAATTCCACTTAAAAGTTTATCACCTGTCCTATACCTTGGAATTCCACTTTTTTCCTCGACCAAAAAATTCAAACAACACAGAAATACACAAAATAAACTAGCTCCCCATCCCAAATAATTCATTATAACTTTAGACCTTTCATATATGTATAAATACATCTTTCATATAATTTTTTCAAACAAAAAAAGAAGCTGTTACACAGCTTTATAAGTTGCTGCTTTGTATTCAAACTTTTTAAAAGGTGTGAATTGGGCACTAATAATTTAAATAATGAATGTGTTTATTTTTAAATGTTATGCTTATAGCTGTACTAACAAAAACTAAGATCAAGCACTAGTTTCAGAAAATGTTTCCACTAGAGCAGTTTTATTAAGGTATCTTAAATTTGTTTTTCATTTCATAATTTAAAAAATTATAAATGATGGCAAATTTTATATTAACATGTTTTTCTTTGTTTTGTTTTAAGATTTAAAGTGCTCTGAAATCATCACACCATCTATCAACTTAAAGTGAGTCCTCAAGAAGATAGTTTTTCAGTGGGTGGATGGGCAAGTAGAATAGAAGAAAGAATTTAAGAAAGAAAGTTGATTCTTTTTCTTTTGCTATTGTAAAAAGAAATTATTTCTTCAGGAATGATCTATGAAAGGATTTGGTACAATCATATTTGAGAATGGAAAAAAATAAATGTGGCAATAGGACAGAGGCTTCAAAAAGACATTTAATAACAAAAAAGAATTATTTGTACCCAAGTCAGCAACATTCAATGCTGTAAGAAAACTAGGGAAATAATCTTGAAAAGAGAAATGGCAGGAGGTCATAGTATACTTCAATTCAATGAAAGGCTAACACTTTAAAAGATAGATAAGACACTTTAAGGATAGAGGTGGGCAAAGGGGAATGGGGGGCATCTATAATAGTGGCGACAAATTTAAAAAAGAAGAAAGACACTTTAAGAAAGATAAAACACATGGGCTCCCCAAAACCTGTAATCTCTATGATCTGTAAAGCAGCTACACTGAGTGGCAGAAGCAAACTCTTTAAGAGAGGGCTTCTTCTCCCATAGCTAGAAACTGTCTATGGAGTCCTTTTACTTCCACAAAAGGCAAGAAAACCCAACCCAAATAATAGCATAAACCTATTATTATGCAGGATTCAATTATTCAAAAATACATTTCAAATCTACAGTAGCTAAAACTATTCTTAGAATGTCAGCATCCAGGGATTTTTGGAAAATGTTCTTCTAAAAACTTCTATCTAGTCCCTCATTTCACCTGGTATATAGAGACATATATCTAAATTCCTTGAAAAGATGAAGAAAGATTTTAAGATTTGATCTTGAAAAAAAGGCCAAAACTGCTGAGTCCTTGCCAGTATTTCTTTCACAAAGCCATACTTAGAAGTTCAAGTAGATTAAGATAGCACAGTGTCAATCTCTAAAATTTCATAACTTTCTCCAACCTCTGCTTACAACAAAAACAATTACTATACCTGAATACTTAAAAAATAAAAATAAGCATGGTAATTAAATATGCTTAGAAATAGAAAATGACAAAGGCATATTTTAAATTAGGGTCAATGAACTATTACAGAGGGTTAGAGATGACCCATAAACTACAGACACAAGTTTTTGTGCATTTCTAGAAAGTGACTCCATAATATTCATCAGGCGCTCAAAGAAGACTGCTATTTATTTGGGTGACGGCTTTACCCCAAAACTTATGTCTGATTTTATATGGAAATCAAATGGAAACAGCATTTTCTTTATAACCATATTGGCCAGACACAATTATACTGCAGAGAAATAAACAAACTGAGCCCTGTCCAGTGTGGCTCAGTTGGTTGTGCATCATCTCATACACTGAAAGGTTGAGTTACATTCCTGGTCAGGGCATAATCTCCAGTAGGGGGCATTCAGGAGGCAGCTCCCACACTAATGTTTCTCTCTCTTTCTCCCACTCTCTCTCTCCCTTATTCTCCCTCTCCCTTCCTCTCTCTCTACAAATCAATAAAAAATATTTTTAAAGAAATAAACAAAATTATAATTCACACAAGATATATATATATATATATATATATATATATATATATATAAGCTTAAGCAACTGACCAACCAGCCAACCAGCCAGTAGCTATGACGTGCTCAATGCAGGAGCAGAAACCACAGGCATGGAAACATGGAACAGACTGATGAATCTTAGACGAAAGGGGGTAGGGGGAGACGAAAGGGGGTAGGGGGAGTCGGAAGAGATTAACCAAAGATCTTATATGCATACTAGAGGCCCAGTGCATGTATTCGTGCACGGTGGGGTCCCTCGGCCTGGCCTACGCCCTCTCACAATCCGGGACCCCTCGGGGGATGTCGGAGAGCCGTTTTCGGCCCGATCCCCACAGGCCAGGCCAAGGGACCCCACCGGTGCACGAATCCATGCACCAGGCCTCTAGTAATTTTATAAAGATTCCTCCACTACTTGCAAATTTATTTCTTTTTTATATTTTTTAATTACTTAATATTAACATAATTCTAAAACAGTTCAGTAATATTAATTTTAAATTCCATTTTACAGAAATTCCATTTTACAGATGAAAAAAGTAAAACAAAAAGTTCTTCAAGTTACTACAAAACACAATAAATTTGTGGAGAAGTTAGAATTCATAACCTCAAATCTTAAAGCTTTAAGATTTATTATCATCTACCATTTAACTTGGCAAAAAAGCAAAATACTGCCCTTTTTATTTCAAAAAGTCATGCACATATAGAGCTAGTGGTAAAAAGCCAATGAGTGCAGAATTATATTACAATCTTGAGGCATAAAAAACAGGGTTTATTGTTCATCTTTATCAACCATTTGCTGTTGTCCAAACCATCTAAACAGGTACAGAATATCTGTTGTGCAAAATCTCACATAAGCACACACTCTAGCAAGATAGCAAAAGTGACATAACTATACCTTTTCAACTATTCTTTTTAAAAAATTCAAACAGTAGTAGTACTCTACCGCCACAGTTTCATGATTAAACTGCACAAAGCAGCTGTTTATCCACTCACAGCCACCAGCAGGTGAACCTGATTCAATATTTATCACAGGCTTTCACAGATCACTGCTAACCAAGCA